GCTTTGAATTTAACAACAATATCCCACATTGAATAATTTGGTGTTACATCACTCCATTTGTTCATATGAACAAGGCTTTTAACACGATTTGAAAATCGATTAATTTATTGTCTTGTAATTGTCTCAACAGAGCTTACAGCAGTTAGACTCACTGAATTGTAATCAATTTTATTACTAGCCCACCACATTTCACCAACAACTTTGTATTCAGCTGAATACATACAAACTCCGAATCTACTCGAATAATAACCTTTTGATGAATCAAGATTCAGTTCAAATGATTTTACCTTCTTATTGAAGTTATGAAAGTCTTTGAAAATCTCTTCTTTCCCAGTGATATCATCTTCATCGCTACATTCGTTACCTATAATACCATTCATGATATAATCGAGATCATTTTTCAAATCATTGCTAACGCTATGTGCTAAATGGTCGTTGACATATTTTTCATAGTTTTTTTTGGTTGCTTGTGATTTAGTGTCTACATACGTTTTATTACAAAGGTCGATTCCGGTTGTTGGTGCTGCTGAATTGATTGCTTTATTATTGTTAAGGTTAAGGCCACCAGTCATTGATTGAGAACCATCTAAAAGCATAACTGTATTTTTATCAGGTTTTTTAGTTCTGTGTTAAGTGTTGTAGTGTATATATAATTTAGCACTCAATCCATTAATCACAACGCCCGAATCAGCCTTTTTATTGAGTTCAGTACTGAGCTTATTGAAATTCACAGCGGCTGTTCCATTCAATGGTTGATCTGAAATGCCCGTTATTTGTCTATCTGCTCCATGAACACTAGTGAAATTAAAAGCCTTTTGAATATTACCACCTTTTGTTTTAATAAGATAATTAGTTAGATCAATGCTTCCAATGTCATGCTTCTTGGCTAATTCAGCGTCTACATAAGTCTTATTACAAAAATTTGTTCCAGTTGTTAGCGCTACTGAATTGATTGCTTTATTGTTTCCAAGATCAAGGTCACCAGTCATTGATTGACTTCCATTTAATAGCATAACAGTATTTGCATTAGGCTTTTTCGCTATCTCAGTGTTGAATGCTGTAGTGTTTAATCTAGCACTCAGTTTATTTAACATAACGCTTGAATCAGCCTTTTCATTGAGTCCAGTGGTGAACTTATTCAAATTGACATCACTTGTTCCATTCCATGGTTGATCTGAAACGCCTGTTATTTTTCTATCAGCTCCATAAACGCTAGGGAAATTCAAAGCCTTTTGAATATTACCACAATTGTTTTATCAAGATAATTAGGCAGATCAACACTTCCAAAATCATGCTTCCTAGCTAATTCAGCGTCTACATACGTTTTATTAAAAAGGTCCGTTCTCGCTGTTGGTGCAGCTGAATTGCCTTATTATTGTTAAGGTTAAAGTTACCAGTCAATGATTGAGAACCATCCAAAAGTGACACTTCGGTTTTATTAGCTTTCCTCACAACAACGGCATTGGGTTTTTGCAGGTTATCTAAGTCTTGGTTGTTTTTTGGATCAGCCACATTAACGATCTTGTTGTTTTGCATATCAAGATTGCCTGAGTCGTGGGTCGTGTTCCATCGGTATATAGATGATCGTCAGTAGAAGCTTTTGAACTAACATCTTGATTATCAGTTGGATTTTTCAAGTTCTTAAGTTGTTTGTTTTCCATGTCATAATCACCAGAAGCAGTCAATTTAAAACCAACTCCTGGTAATCCTCGTACACCAACATCTCTTTCAGCGGGAGGTGTTAGCATGTATGTGGTTTGTGATCTGTCATACACTGTAATTCAAAAGGATTCTAATAAAGCGTTTCAAGCTCTTTAGATCGAAACTTTTTTCCCAAACAAAACCAACATAGTTTGTGGTGTTATCTACAGACAACACAACTCACCAAAGCGTTTTCAAAATTATTTTAAAGAAACAATAGAAAACTTGTCCGCCTCTAATAAAAGCATCTTCTTAATGGGTGACACTAATATTAATCTTTTTCACTGCTCGTCTTGTAATTACGCTCAAAACTTTTTTTTTTCCCTCCAGAGCTACAACTTGATCCCTACGATTGACAAGCCTACTCGTGTGCATAACAACTCCTTCTCTTTAATTAATAACATATTCACAAACAAACTTGATGGTGATATTATCAGTGGTAATGTAATTTCGGATATTACAGATCACTTTACTCAATTTTGTATTGTGCGTTCACTCACGATCTCTGGTAATAACATGAAATGCTTTATTAGTGATTACTCACACTTTTCAGAGGAAAATTTCTTACACGACCTATCACAGATTGATTGGCAGACTTTAATTTCTGAGAGAGAAGCTAATGTTGATAAGTTATTCTCTGTCCTCTATACCAGGCTAAACAAAGTTGTAAATAAACATGTCCCTTTCAAACCTATTTCCAAACGTAAAATGAAAGATATGTCAAAACCACGGATTACTAAAGGCTTACGTAAATCTATTAAAGTTAAAAATAAACTTTTTAGTCAGGGGAACAAAGTTGCGTATAGATTCTATCGTAATAGAATTCTCACCCTTACTCGTCTCAGTAAGAAACTTTATTTCCACAATTATTTTGAAGAGAATATTAACATTGCAAAAAGAACGTGGGATGGCATCAACAGCATTATCAACAGGAAAAAGAAATCTCGAAAGTCAATTGGTTCAATTAGGCGTTCTGATGATTAACTATCTCAAGATCCAGTCGATCACGCAGACATTCTTAACGATCACTTTGCCTTTGTGGGGCCCAGACTCGCATCAAGTATTCCAAATAGCAACAGACTATTCTCGCATTATGTACCGAAACTTAATTTCAGTGGCTCTTTTGTTTTTGAACCAGTCCTTCCAACCGAAGTTGAAGTTTAATTATTGAGGACCCCCGCCTGACAAATCACATGGACTGTGGTCCTGTCCCACTCGTCTGTTGAAATGTGCGCCACATATTATAGTTAAAGCCCTTCCCCTCTAAATTGAAGCACACTGTAATTATCCTCGTTTCTAAAGGTGGTGATGAAACTGACCCTTGTAATTATCGGCAAATTTCTCTTCTTTCAGTCTTTAATAGAATCATTGAAAAACTTATGTATAATCGCCTAAAACAATTTATGAAAAAACATAATATATTTTACAATTATCAATATGGATTTCGTGAAAGATACTGAACGGAACATGCCATCTTAGACATTGTCAATAGAATTCAACTCAATATAGACAAGGCATGTTTTCGTGTGGGGTCTTTATTGATCTGCAAAAGGCATTCGATACTGTCGATCATTATATCTTATTACGTAAGCTGGCTCATTGCGGAATTCGTGGCATAATCAATGATTGGTTCTGAACCACTCAGGTTGGTGCCTGTGTTTCTAAAAAAGAGAAAACCTCTTGTGGAGTGCCACAGGGTTCTGTTTTGGGTCCTTTATTGTTTCTGATTTATATTAATGATAATTACAAGTCTTCAAACAAACTAGTATTCTACCTATTCGCTGATGATACAAATCTGTTATATGCTGATAAGAATTTAAAATCACTTGAATCTGTTGTAAATGTGGAGCTACTTAATGTCTGTGCCGACTGGCTAAGCGCTAATAAACTCTCCTTAAATAAAAA